AAAAAAAAAATTTTTTTTTAAATGTTTGTGTCTTTTCAACTTTATACTTGGATAAGTATTATGATTTTGAAACTATATTCAATAGACCATTCTTTTAAAAGAGACTTCATTGTGGTTAAAGTTCACTAGAACATTTTATTTTTTCTAATGCTTTCTCTCTTTTTTTGAACCAACTTCTTATTCTGTCTCCCAGGCGAGAGTGCTGCAGCATCATAGCTCACAGCAACCTCAAACTTTGGGGCTCAACCCTCCCAAGTAGCTGGGCCTACTGGTGCCCACCACAACACCTGGCTAAGTTTTCTATTTTTAGCAGAGACAGAGTCTTGGTTTGGCACAGGCTGGTCTTGAGCTCCTGAGCTCAGGCAATCCATCTGCCTTGGCCTCCCAGAGTGCTGAGATAATAGGCGTGAGCCACTCACTGCGTTTGGCCTTGCTAGAACGTTTTAAAGATTGGGCTTTTAAACCTGGAAAGGCCCTCTCACTTCTGGATTGGGAAACTGAGTCCCCAGGTCAGGCCGTAGCGTGCATATGTGCCTGATTCCCAGGTTGGGGATCCTTCGGCCATGCTGCACTGCCTCTCCCAAATTGCAAACCCTAACCCATACTCACAGGTCCAAAGTGAGATTGGCGATGACGGGGATCCTCAGGGCAAATTTATTGCCATCAGCAGTCACTTGGGGTTTGATATCCAGGATGAGGAAGTTTTTGGTTTTCAACCTGCACAAAAACCACAATTCACCTTTGTCATTCCTCCTGACAGCCATTTGCTAAGCACCTCCCTGTGTCAGCCCCATGCTGGGCATTTGGGCCTCACCAGCCTTAGCAGTCTTTAGTCTTCACTGTAGCACTGCTCAGAGGTTTGATTCTCTGAATGTGGCATACGGTGGCTCAGTCAGATGTCATTTCCCCCACTGAGACTTCAAGGGGAATAAGGGCCAGATCCTGAATCTGAGCCCAGAAATGACTCCAAAGCTCTGTGTGTGGAGCCACTACCTGGGGTTATGGGACATAGATTCCGGTTTCCCTGTCTGTCAGAGGAATTGGACTCTTACCCCCAATTATATGTAGAGAAAAAAAGTTTTATTCCTCGGAAAAGAGACTTCGGGCACCAGCAAACAGGTGGAGGTAAGTGTGAATAGAACCTCAAAATTATAGCATGTGGGAGCCCAAACCCTCAAAGTGCCCCATTGGCCCTAGAGCTTTGCCTCTAACTTACTTAGGCTCTGGTGGGGTCTTAGCCACCGCAGCTCTCTGTGGGAGGAACAAGGCTTGCCCATCTGTCTTTGATCTTAAACTTACTTTCTCAAACATATTCGTTCCTTTTTCTTGGAGCACAGATCTCCACCCTGAAGCACCAACTCACCCCAAGCTCTTCTCCAAACTTGGAAGGGAATCAGAAAAGACATTGTCTATTAGTTTCTGAGCTTCCTGGATCTTATTTACGGCCAGTTTCCAAGCACTGGAATTCTGTAGCACCTTCAAGTCGACCTTTACTTTCTGAAGGAGACCTGCCAAAAGCAATCCCATTTCACGCCATGTATCACTGATGAGGCAGCTACTGGGCTCCAAGCACCAGATAAGACTGTTTACCTATGTTATTTCATTTACTCTTTTACAACCACGTGATGCAGTCAATATTGTTATTAACCACATTTCACAGATAAGGAAATAAAAGTTTTAAAAAGTTAAGAAATGTGTCTATAGTTATGTAGCTAGGGAACCTTTGTTTCTTCCATGTGGCCTCCATACTAATATAACACGTTCAGACAATTAAGTTTGTGAACTCATCCTAGAAAAAGTGCTCCATACTTGATTGTTGAAAGTCACTGGGATCCGCTTCAAAGTACTCCCCTGGGGAAGTTATACACCGATGCCGGCGCCTAGTCCACCCTTCAAGGCACTGTTTCTAGGACGAGTTTGCAGACTTCATTGTCTGACCTGGCACAGCCATAGCTCTGACGGCCATTCCAGAAAAAGAGTTCCAAAGTTGCTTTGAAAGGTGGATTAGGCTCTGGTATTGGTACATGGTTTCCCAAGGAGAGTACTTCCAAGGTGACATTCCATAATGAGGTATGTAGCACTGTTTTTTTAGAATGAGTTAGTGACTCATATACTGATCATTTATCAACATAGCCATCAATCCATTGGCCAGACAATTAATATTGATTGTACTCCAGCATCTAGGAATGCCTGGCGGTGGGGGGGGGGGGAGTGGTCTATTGTTCTAAATGTGATACTCACACGAGTTTGAAAAACGAAGTCAAACAAAATGAAAGAATAAACTAAGAAATGTAAAATCTCGTATCAAGGAAAAATATACGCCTCCAATCCATGAAAGTGGTAAGTTGGAGTCCCAGAATGACAGCTTTGCAGCAGGCCCAAAGAGGATTTATACACAAGAGGACGTGGTTTCCTTATGATAGGTCTCTGATGACAGGGGGATGAGAGAATAAACGATATGGCAGGTGCAAATGATAGGAGGGTGCATACGAAAAGAACTAAGGACTTAAGTGGAGAAAATAATTGAAGTGAGAAACAACAAAGCAATTACTAATTCAAGGAAAAATAAAAGGCTGTAGTGTATAAGAAAAGAGATACCATAATACTGCAACTTGGCTCTGCAACGGACAGTATCTTACACAATTTTTAAAAAGTGGTGATATAGATAATTTAGTCCCTAGGTAACCTTGATTCAGAAACTAAATGAATGAGCCAGCAGGAATTGAATAGCCCCCTTTCTCAGTAAACCACATAAAAAGGGCAGCTCTGGTGGCAGCCTCTGGTAATGCAGGCACAATGATCACCCCTGTTGACTCACCTTGAAGAACACTCTGAACTGTCTCAAGTCCTTTGTCAAGAACAGGTTTCAGCTTGCCCAAGGTATGGTCAACTGTATCAAGTCCCTTGTCAAGAACAGGTTTCAGCTTGTCCAAGGCATGGTCAACTGTATCACGTCCCTTGTCAAGAACAGGTTTCAGCTTGTCCAAGGCATGGTCAACTGTATCACGTCCCTTGTCAAGAACAGGTGTCAGCTTGTCCAAGGCATGGTCAACTGTCTCGAGTCCCTTATCAAGAACAGGTGTCAGCTTGTCCACGACACCATGCAGGTCATCGCCAAGATGAAGAAGAGATGCTGAGGTCCCAGTGAGCAGGCCACACAAGAGAACAAGTTTCCAAAGCTGAAGCATCTTTTGTCCTGTTACCTGGACAGACATGGGAGGAACAAGAGTGAGGATAGTCCACAGGGAGATGGGATCTTCAGTGAGCACCTATCACTCTTACACTTAACATTCCTTTAAGATAGACGAGATTATCTCCAATTTACACTTGGGCAGCCAAGGTTAGAAAGCTGTGGAAGCTTGCCCAGAGACACACAGCGATGAGCAGAGGGACTAAGACCAGAAAAGTTAAACCTGACTCCCAGCCCATGCTCTTTACACAAAGGTCCTTTGCACATGCTATCTCTTCTATCCGAAATATTTTTCTTCTTCTTCCTCTTCTTCACTTTTCCACTCTAGCCAAATCCTACTGACTCTCCAGCTTTAGTAAGACTTCACGCCCTCTGTGAAGCCTGCCCTAGGCTCCTCCTCAGAGTCTAGGCTGGAGGTTTCCACTCCCCTGTCTTGCTACCCTCATTCTCTGATCAGGGCCCTGGCCACCGGTTCCCTGGTGATGTGTCTGGTTTCCAGCTGGGCTGTGAAGTCCTTAGAGGAAGGACCATGACTTATTTCACTGTTGAATCCTCAAACCCCAATGAAAATCCTGCACCTAGTACAGTACAATAAACAAATAAATACTTGTTGAATGAAAGTATGAAGAAACCAGTGGACACCACCTCAAAACTCTACAGGGCTCATCAGTTTGACACTTGTCTTACTATAAACTCCATTTCTAAATTCGCTACCTTCAGAACGTTAGAGAACCCAAGCCACTTCATCCCTCTTTCCCTCCTGCTTTCTGAAGATCGCCATGCAGGGTGTCACCGGTGGGGAAGCCCACCACTTACGAGTTTGCAGGAGGATGCTCAGGAAATCCTTGCTCCTCTGGATAGTCTGCTGGGATTCTGCTGTGTGCTGGTGGCCCTTATATGGTGGTGACCAGATGGGAGGCTGTCCATGGAAGCAAGCCCTGGTTCCGGGACCATCCAAGGAGGCTCCAAAGAAAATAACCCCTGTCCAGAATGAGTAGAGAGACTGTCAACCCAAAGGTCATGCAGGATGCTTGGATTGGAATGGATGGGTACAGAGAGGACTTTCTGCCAAGACTAAGAGCAGGTCCTCATGGAACTTGCAGCTGCCAAGGGGGTGGTCCTAGTTGGTGGGGGTTGGGGAGAAGACTGAGAATGGATGAATTGGCAACTGTTCTGGTGAGAGGACCCATGGTCCTCATCCAGTCTAACTTTGAGGTCATTTGGAAACTGAGGCTCAGAGAGGGGAAGCCACCAGCCTGAGGTTACCCAAGAGGACAGGGACAGAGACGGGGCTAGAACTGTGGCTCACAGGGAGTCAGACTTAGTGACCGGAGAGGTCATTCTATTGTATCTGAGTGCCCTCTGCAACATCTCTCATGAGCAAAGGCAGTGTGAGTGTTGGCCGTGGGGGCAGGGAGTTCACCACCCCTCACCTCCTTGTTCTCACTAGTTGGTAGAAAGTTCTTCCAGAGAGTGGAAAAAATGGCCCTGCTGTTATCCCACGTGTGGGCCACAGTGTGGTCTGGAAGGTCAAGTGCCTCAGCAGAGGCCGATGGCCCTCGTCAGGGGGTGCACTCCCCCAGCCTCGTCTCTGGTCCCTCTGCACACCATTTCCATCCACTCTACTCTCAGAGCAGCAGCTGGAGGGCGCTCAAACCCATGGCCTGCAGGCACCTGTGTCATCTGCCCTCTGCCTCCCCCAGCCTCCCCTCTCATCTGCTTTCCTATGTTCCAGAAAGATGCCAACGACCTTCCCATGTTGGGCCTTTGTCCAGGCTGTTCCCTCTGCCCAGACCTCTCCTCCCAGCTGTCTCTGTCTCTGATGTCACCTTCTCAGAACACCCTTTTGATTGCCTTCTGGGGTGACCCTCCTCATTGTCCCCAACCTCAGCTCCTTGCTGGCTTCTTTCACAGTTTGATCACAATTTGGCTTTCTGATTATCATTATTATTATTATTTTTGTTTGCCCTAGCAGAGGGCAGCCCCTGCACTTTGGGGCTTTCCTTCCATGTGAGTCCCCAAGGTGCTGACCCCTCCCTAGAATGCTCACAGTCTCTCTCTGGGGCCTCCTCTGAAAGCTGGCCACTGACTGAGATGGTGGTGAGACCCCCCACCATGAGAGATGTACAGAAATGGGGCTAGATGATGGCTAGGATCCTGCGCTACTTGATGTGACCATGCGCCATGATTCTAAGTTTCTGTAGGTGTGTTGTTCAAAGACCACTGCTGTACATATTTACAACTCTTCCCCTTGGGTTTACTTTCTGCCTGCATCTAGCCTTCCCACGTGGATATTTTTCCTCGGCCTTCCTGCCCCTTTCCTTCTCTTACCCCCACCTGACCTCTCAAGATTCCAGTTTACCCTCTTGGAGCGGCAGTGGCTTGCCCTGGGTGTGGTTACTAGCATAGGTCATACCCAGGACAAAACCAGCTTCTCCCACTGTTACCAGCCACCTCTCACATCTCTGATGTGACATTAACTAGAAACTTCTGTTCTTTGTCTCACATCTCTGATCTGACATTAACTAGAAGCTTCTGTTCCTTGGGGGAAGGCCTGAAGGAGTAGCACAGGTAGCTCAGGGACCTGCCTTCTAAGGAGCCAATTCCCTTTTTTTTTTTGAGACAGAGTCTCATTTTGTAGCCCTCTGTAGAGTGCAGTGTTATCACAGCTCACAGCAACTTCAAACACTTGGGCTTAAGAGATTCTCTTGCCTCAGCCTCCCAAGTAGCTGGGATTACAGGAGGCTGCCATAATGCCTAGCTATTTTGTTGTTGTTGTCATCATTGTTATTTGGCAGGCTTGGGCCAGGTTCGAACCCACCAGCCCTGGGGCATGTGGCTGGTGCCCTAACCACAGAGCTATGGGCTCCAAGCCAGGAGCCATTATCTTGGGGTCATCCATTCCTCTGCAGCCTCAGTGGCCTCAGCTCCATGAAGGCAGAACTTTGACACACTCTGTCAAGGACCCCCTTCTACAAAAGTTTTGGGGGAACTTCCAAGTCTTGTCTATACTATGCTAATGCTACCAAAGTGGGGAAAACTACAACCCACTTCTTCCTCAGAGCATCTGAATCCTCCACCCAATGGTGTGTGTGGAGCTTTTGAATGGATATAAGCCAGACTCATGAAGACGATGGACATGTTTCCCTGTCTGCAGTGTGAACTTTTTACAGAAGTATGTCAGTTGCCCACTGTTCCCAAAGAAAGAGCCCTCGACCCAAGGCGGGATTTGGGTAGCCCAGATTGCCTGTGTGTGTCTTTATGCACACAGACTTTAGATAGAATCACTTGGCAAAGCCCACAGAAGAATGAAACCAATGCTAAGGATATAAGAAAATACGTATCATTTGAGTACCTGACGCCAGCAATGCCTGAAGCCATATATCCCTCTGGAGTTTTCAGTTCAAATAACATTGTCCCCCTCTCTTTTTTCCTCCCACCTAAACCAATCTGAGTTGGATTCCTGACACTCAAACCCACAGCTGTCCTTCTTGGGCATTTGTGGATTCACAGTGGCCATGCAGGTGTCCAGGTTGGAGGGCCCATCTGTCCATGCTTCTTGCTGGGAAGTCTGAGAACTTGTAGCCCCAAGCAGCAGAAAGACTCACACAGGCTCCATGGAGATTTTGAACCTCACATATTTTCCTCCTTTCCTTGCATAATTTTTAGTTGTGCTGGAATTTTCTTCTCTGGACAATAGCGTTCAAAAAAAAAAAAAAAAGAGATGAAGCTAAATTACCTAGGAAGCTTGTTTAAAATATTGATGCTTGAGTCCCCTGGACAATTTGGGTGAGAGGCTCTGGGATGGAGTCTGCATCCAGGCTGCCCAGGGGCGGCCGACCTGGGGTGGGAACAACTGGACCAGGTGTCTCCAAGGTGCCTTTTGGCTGTGAGCTCTGACCCCCAAGCCCCCACAGGCTTGGCTCAGCTTTGACATGACCTCGTAACGCCACATGTGCACTGTGCTTGACAGTGTAGCCCAGAGGAATGCAGACCCATAAGAGCAGACAATTAATGATGACAGTTGCCATTATTTGGCTGCTGCTGTATACCAGGTGCTTTTCCTATTTCATCAGGTTTCATCCCTTCAGCAACCTTACAGGGGGTTTCTGTCCCCAGTTCGCAGAAGAAAAGGCTGAGGTCTGGAATGGAGGATGACTTGATGCTCATGGCCATGAAGACCATAAAGGACATTGCTGCCACGTGAGCCCATCTTTGCCTGGGAGTAAGGATGGCCATTCCAGCAGCAGGCCATTCTTGGGGGCAGAAAGGAGTCCCAGTCTCCTCCCATCCCACTCCCCAGCCCCTCCTGGCAGGTGACGGTGCAGGCCTGGCAGTGCTGTGTATCTGAAACTGGTCTTGACACTGTCGGTACATTTCCCCTTAGTCCTCGTGCTGCTCTGTGAGGCAGGTTCTGAGAGCCCCATTTTCCAATTGAAGGAAGTGAGGTTCTGAGAGAGAGGTGGCTTGTCTAGGCCTGGCGAGGACAAGAATTGGTCATTTGGGCCTCTACGGAAGGCTCTTCCACGCCCATCAAACTGAGGCCAGTTGGTGGAACCTAACAGTCCTTGGGCTTGAACATCCTGTTTTCCCTCAGCCTCTGCTGTTTGAGTTGGTTGTAACACCTGGTGCGTTGGGCCTGTGTCAGCTCGGAACAGCACACGAAACTCAGATGGGCGCCGCTTGGCCTGAGGCTGGGAAGGACTGGCAGAGAGCGCGGGGCAGCCCAGGTCTCTGACCCTCTACTTGCTCATCTGCAACCCCGTGAGGGCCTGGGGGCCTGTCTCCAATATGACATAACCAGGGCAAAGGGTGGGACAGGACCAGTGGCTCCGGGAGCTGCTCTCTTCATGATGGCCATGGCGCCACAGAGCACAGAGCAGGGCAGCAGAAGGGAGAAGGTGACCGTGGGACCCCAGGAGCTGGGCTCATCAGAGCCCTGCTGCGGCCTTGCTTGTGGGTCATTCCCTTCCCTGGCTGTTGCCTCTGAGTTCCACA